AAGAGAAGAGCGAGAGATGAACGAGGGAGAACAGAGAGAATGAGCGAGAGAACGAGGAAGCGATGAGCGAAAGAACGAGGAGAGAATGAGCGAAGAGAACGAGGAGAGAATGAGCGAAACAGAGAGAGAGCGAGAGAACGAGGAGAGAATGAGCGAGAGAACGAGGAGAGAATGAGCGAGAGAACGAGAGAGAATGAGAGACGAGGAGAGAATGAGCGAGAGAAACGAGGAGAGAATGAGAACGAGAGAGAATGAGCGAGAGAACGAGGAGAGATGAGCGAGAGAACGAGGAGAGAATGAGCGAGAGAACGAGGAGAGAATGAGAGAATGAACGAGAGAACGAGGAGAGAAGACGAGAGAACGAGGAGAGAATGAGCGAGAGAACGAGGAGAGAATGAACGAGAGAACGAGGAGAGAATGAACGAGAGAACGAGGAGAGAATGAACGAGAGAACGAGGAGAGAATGAACGAGAGGAGAGAATGAACGAGAGAACGAGGAGAGAATGAGCGAGAGAACGAGGAGAGAATGAGCGAGAACGAGGAGAGAATGAGCGAGAGAATGAGAACGAGAGAACGAGGAGAGAATGAGCACGAGGAGAGAATGAGCGAGAGAACGAGGAGAGAATGAGGAGAGAATGAGAACGAGGAGAGAATGAGCGAGAGAACGAGGAGAGAATGAGCGAGAGAACGAGGAGAGAATGAGCGAGAGAACGAGAATGAGCGAGAGAACGAGTAAGAGAATGAGCGAGAGAACGAGAGAATAAGCGAGAGAACGAGTAAGAGAACGAGTAGAGAACGAGTAAGAGAACGAGTAAGAGAACGAGTAAGAGAACGAGTGAACGAGTGAGAACGAGAACGAGTGAGAACGAGAACGAGTGAGAGAACGAGGAGAGGATGAGGAGAGAATGAGTGAGAAAACAAGTGAAGACGAGAAGAGAACGAGTCAGGGTAAGAATAGAGTAGAATCAGTAAAAGTTGATTAAAAGTATGGTAAAAAAAAATAAAATCCTACGTAAAATGAAAGGCAGACATTAAAAAAAGGAAATATTGCGTTAAAACAAAACAAAAATGAGCACCAACACTTGCTGCAACATTACTGTTAAAATATTAAAAGGAAACTTGAAAAATAAAACGTGACAAAAGTTAAATGAGCATCACTGGGTTCGTCTGTATTTACGCCTTATCTGCCTTTATCACTGCTTATTAAGGTTTCACGTCCAGCTTTAATAGTACCTAGGCAAGTAACACAACGGGGGTCAGTACAACCTGAGATTTTCCTGCTGCCGAGAGGGAGATGAAACGCGACAAAGTCCAAGTTGACACTGTTTATTGGTTCAAGGTCCTGGAGGTTCCAGGACCCGTGACGTCACGGAACAACGAAACATTTTTATACATTTATAATAATAAATACAGATAAAACACACAATGATGATAACATGATTCATAAAAACAAATGATTAATAAAATTTATGTTAAAAGCTTACCAATTGCAGAAATAAGAAAGATTAGGAATAATCGATAAAACATTCAAATGATGAAGCAGTAAAAATTAAAACCTAAGAGATTATATAAAACATGAAAAGTAATTAAAATAATAAACAATACCTTATACCAAAACAGTAAAATGGATTAAGGAAAATAAGAACACACTTGCTAAAAATGAAAAAAAAATACGTCATGGGAGTGATAGATCCTCGACTAAATTATAAGAGTGTCAAATCAAGACTTTAGGTCTTCTAAAATGTATAAAAACTAAATAAAACTGTAAAAAAAATATCTTCAGGGGAAGTAAAAGATGTAAAACTGAAATATAGATAAAAAAATAATAATGCAACGTCACGTCTCAATCAGAAATATAGATTACTTAATTCGAGGGTTCACAACTGGGTTTAGAATTTAAATAAAATAAAAAACGCAACCTAAAAATACTAAACTAAAAGTGGGATCCGTAAAACAACAACTGCAACATTAATGTAAACATAACGAGGGGAAAGAAAACGGGCTTAGGGGGAACCATAGAAGTCACGCGCAGGTGACAAGTGCGCACAGGTGTCGCAGGAAGAGTGCCAACTGGAGTGCCACGCCCTCTCGGTAATTAATACACTCCACAATCCTCCCATGCCTTGGGTCGGAGTGGTCAGCGGAGACAGCCTGAAACAAAATCAAAGATTGGCCTGAGCCCCGTTACTTGCCTTTACAACATAAAACGTGGACAGCCAGACGTGTCCACAAGCAGAAGGCAACAACAAAAAAAACAGACAAAATACATTACGACAACAAACTCAGAGATCAGCCCCAGTATCTGCAGCTCCTCGAACGATGCCACAGGCCTCTGCTTCCATACCATGGACGTCAGCATGGCAACCCAGGGGTCATCTGGGTTAGGGGCCTCAGCAGCAGCAGCATCGTCACTATCCTCGACCTCCTCGTCATCTTCGACCTCGTCGTCAGCAGCATATGAAAGCTCGGCTGGTGCATGGTAAGCCTTCAAGTGATTAAGATGAGCCTTCATCTGGACTTCGGTGGTGACGTCTTGGATCTCAAAGGACACCGGTCCTAGGCGTTTCATAATACGTGCAGGGCCGCGCCATTTCCCTGTGAGAGGAGGAAGACCTCCCATACGATGACGGTGCTCATAGTACCACACAAGGGCACCTTCGGTAGGCTGGAACTCCACCCTTTTGCCACGGTCATAATACCTCCCGTAGATTCGGCGCGCTTCCTTAGAGGCTTCTACAGCTGCACGACGGGCTTCCTGAAGGCGCTCCTGGAGCTTGGCGTTTTCATCGAAGACAGCTTCATTGGTGAGGCCGATGGGAAAGTTGGCATGCCTGCCGGTAAGCAGGTAGAGAGGCTGCTCACCAGTAGTACGGTGGATGGCCGAGTTGATTTGCAGGCGTAGCTCAGGAACAAACTGGTGCCAGACTCTTGGACGGTTGTTCACAAGAGCAGTGAGTGCAGACTTTACAACACGGTTTGTGCGCTCCACCATGCCATTCGCTTGTGGATGATAGCGAATTGTGTAGTGATTGCTAGCGTGCATTAGTTGGGTGAGTTCACGAAACAGGTTACTGGTAAACTGGACTCCATTATCACTCTGAATAACTCTGGGTGGGCCGAAAATGGTGACCCAGTGGTCCAGGAATGCTCTGTGTACAGCTGCTGCAGTGGCTCTTCGAAGTGGGACGATTTGCAAGTAGCGGGAATGTTGATCTAATATTGAAAGAGCCCAACGAACTGTAACATTGGGCCCAAAGTCCATTATATCCATGGAGACCCTCTCCAGGGGAAACTGGGCTAGTGGTGTATCTGCCATGGGGGCCTTCTGCATGTTGCCTCGAGACTGCTGACATATCACACAACTGCCAACATACTGACGAGCATCTCTTAGCATGTTAGGCCAGTAAAACATTGATCGGGCATTCTGGAACGTCCGATGTACTCCTGGATGTGAGGCCAGTGGGGGCAGATGCGACGCTTTCAATGCAGAGTTCCTGAGGCTCTCAGGCACCACCAACTGGTAGCAAATCCGGTCTGGCAAGTGTCTCAGACGATAGAGCACTCCATCTTTCAATTCGAAGTCACTCAGTGGAAGGGGCAGCTTCTTCTTTGGGAGAGTTCCATCCCTAAGGTATCGCCGGATGTCAGCAAGCTGTGGGTCGGCCGCTTGTTGATCTGCTAGCTTGTCAGGGGAGAGCTCAGTGATGGTTAACTTCGCAACTTGGCGGGACAGCAAATCAGGAACATAATTGGCAGGCCCTTCCTTATAACGAATGCTGAAGTCGTAAAAGGAGAGGTCATGTGCGAAGCGAGTCATTCTAGGAGACTTGTTTTCTGGTGAAGACGTACACTAACGGTCGGTGGTCGGTGTAGACTGTAAAATGCCGCCCATACAGATACGAGTCGAACACTCGAACACCTTCCACAACTGCCAAAGCCTCCAGGTCGATGATAGGGTAGCGGGTTTCAGCATCACGGAGCTTTCTGCTGTAGTATGCAACAGCATGCGGCGATTGCAGATCATCCCTCTGGATCAAACAGGCGCCCAAAGCGATGTTGGATGCGTCTGTATGAAGCTCAAATTCTTTGGTAAAATCGGGCTGCCGGAGGACAGGCGCTGATACAAGCTTTTCCTTCAGTGCATTAAAGGCGGCTTCTTGTTCATGGCCCCAGGTCCATGCTCGTCCCTTCTTCAGCAGGAGATGCAAAGGAGAGGCGATGGTAGCATACCCAGGATGTGTTTCCTGAAGAAGCCAGTGGCACCCAAGAAGCGACGAACTTCTCTCACAGTACGGGGTGATGGGGTTTTCGATATAGCCAATACCTTCTCTTGATTGGGTGAACACCTTCTGGGGAAATCGTAAAGCCCAAGAAGTCGATGGTGGTAGCTGCAAACTGGCATTTCTGGACGTTCAGCTTGAGACCGGCCATGGAAAGGAGTTGTAACGTCTCGTCCAGATCACTGAGATGCTGCGAGAAGGTTCTGCTGTAGACGATCACATCGTCAAGGTAGGCAAGCGTATGACGGCCCAGCACAGAAGACAGGACAAGATTCATTGTGCGTTGGAATGTGTCGGAGCAGTTG